TCAAAGCCTTATCCCCAGTGCTGTTCTAAGCACGTCCTGTGTGTGATAGAATGATGCTGTTATGGTGAGAGGAGACTGAGTATTTTAGACCTGGAAGCACGTTGTGGAGATTTAACTAGACCCAGTCTCTTCCTTCCTGCGCCAGGGGTCCAGCCCGGCAGGGGGCTGTCTGATGGCCATGTGCTGTGACTACAGAATCATGGCGGAGAACCCAAAATACAGCATTGGACTGAACGAAACGCAGCTGGGTATTGTTGCACCTTTCTGGTAAGGTTACACTGTAATCAGACAAGTGTATTTATGTGGGGGGACGGGAGCAGTGCTGCTCTGAAATGTGTATTCAGAGGCACCAGAGTCACGGACAGGACAGAGTTTATTTGTATGGAGGTAGTGCATAGAGTCCCAGTCCCGTTGCGCTGGGTGCTGTACATACATGTAACAGAGAGACAGTCCCTGCCCTTTAGAGCTTACAATGAAAGTATAAGATGAGAGTATGGGTGGCTGCAGACAGGGGGACCGCAAGGCGACACAGATGATACCAGTCAGTCTGCAAAGCAGCCAGCATGCTTGCCTGACCATTGCTGAGTGGTTTGAAGGCATCCCAGCAGAGGTGAGTTCTAAAGAGGGATTGGAGGGAGGACAGGATGGTTACTTAACATCAGCTCTTTGTTTTGCTGTCTCACTGCTTCTCTTTACGCTTGCTGGTTGTTCTGTGGTTCCCCCGCCTGAGAGTTTCCTCTCCTCTCTCCTAGGTTTAAGGATACAATGGTGAACACTATTGGAAACCGAGCTACAGAGCGTTCCCTCGAGCTGGGGCTCTTGTACTCCCCGCCTGAGGCCCATAAAATAGGCCTTGTAGATCAGTTAGTACCAGAGGAGAAGATACAGAGCACGGCTGCTGCTGTGATGTCACAGTGGTTAGCTATTCCAGGTAAGAGACTTCCGGCCGCAGGAGGCTGCTGCCGTTCTCTGCTCCTGTCAAAGAGCAGTGAGCCCGTGGCCGGAGTGTGCTGGTCACCTGGCGTAGCACAGTGAGCGTGAGGGAGGGGAATGAGATGCAATCGGAGAGCGAGGCTTAACAGTGCCCAGTTCATCTGCGTGTGGTAATGTCAGCAATATTTATCCTAGATTGATTAAAAATGAGGCAGAATAGTATTGGACCAGCTCCACTAGCAAACCTCTGAGAAACCCTGGGCGGGCGAGTCCCAGAGGGAAGGTGAACGGCAGAGAGACCCAGGCAATTGGACTATAACGGTTCAGTGCAGCCTCTGGAACCAACTAGAACAGGCCAGCTTGTAAGCACATATGGGAGAATCCAGTGCCAAATAGCCTGGCATGCTTTGGCTCTAGTGAGCTCAAGGGGCCCAACCCCTTGACTGTGTTTGGCCAGAGCCAGCTCCCACTGAAATGAGTGGTAAAGCTGCCATTGGCTCCCATGAGATCAGGAATGAAGGCAGTGCAATGAGCATATTGGGGTTGAGATGCCACGGATGGCAGGCCGGCCATCTCACCTGGCTAGCGTGGGGTTCAGACACGCAGCTTCACACAGCTGCTGCTGCCATGAGGTCAGTGAGCCAGTGCTGGGTTAGGACAGTGCGTGGAGGGGGAAGAAATTGGAAGCTCGCTGTGTGACTTGGCTCGTGTATGAATGGTGGCAATTTTCAGCTCAGCGTGTAACAAGTCCATGTGAGGGGCATGTGCTGTCCTACGCCTGAAAGCCGTTGGGTGGGATTTAACACAGATCTGAGCATTTGAAACAGAAGGTGCCCAGCCAGCGTGAGATGTGCTCTGGGTGTGCCTGCCACTCAGGAAATGAACTGAGAGAGACAAACCAAGTCTGGGCCTTCCCAGCCCCTCCCCCCTACACGTAAGAGCTGGGTGTAATGTATCATTGGATCTCGCATTCCGTTCCCGATTCCTTTGCCTTCTAGAACCTTTGTAATCTGGGACTGACAGGCAGATGCCCAGGATGCTCCCACACATCCTTGGCTTGGGAGCAGGTCCCCAAGCATCTCTTGGGCTCTGCACTCCCAGGACAGGGAGGGTGTCGGGATGCCCATCAGTCCCTGGCCACTTATCCCAGAGGGGAGCAAGTCACCAGTCCCCTCTTGTCTGGCTTCCTGGAGGCTCCAGTGCAGATCTCGCAATCCCCACACTAGGGCCCTGACCTAGTACCGGTCCTTGAAATGCATGTGTATTAACTAGAGTATGTGCTACACAGGGGCCCTGGTGGGTTATCACCGAGAGGAGCCTCCAGTATATGTGTGGGCAGCTGATCTGTTTCTTTCCCAGATTTACTCTTGCACAAATACCTGGAAAATGAAATGTGTGTTGCACTAGTAAAACGAAAGGCAGACCTGCTAGAATAACGGTGCTTGCTCTGTATAATGCTGCTGGCAGAGCTAACTTACATTTACTGACTTTAACCCTTGTGAGAACACTTATTTAATTACTGTCTCATAATCAGTGTGCATTATAGCAATCGGACACTGGTGCAGGAAAGGCAAACATTTGGCTAGGAGTATCGAGCACAGCACAAGCAAGTAAATTCTGCTCTGGTGACTGCTCTGGTTTTCAGAGCCAGGTTCACTTCTGCACATCGCTTTTTACAAGAGCTCCATACAAATTGGAGAGGATTCAGTGGAGAGGAAACGCTGGAAGAATAGTCTCTCTGAGGAAAGCTTTAAAAGCATGTGGGGTCTTAGAGGGAAGGTATGAGGCAGAGCAGGGGAGGGCTGGACAGTTTTGGAAACGGAGGTGGTGGGCTGCCATCCGGACCCTGCTGCGGGGTTTGGTTTATGCAACTGGTGGCAGACAAGCTTTTCATGCTCTCTAACTTTCGTTGATCTGTTCCCCACTTGAGAGCTTACTCTTCCCTTTGCCGCGTGTCTGAGCCAGAGATTCCCCACTGGAGGGCTCCTTGGCCATGCTCCCAAGGATCTCTCCTGATGGGGATGTGGCTGGTCATGTCGTGGAGAATGTCTGTGGTCTAGGATAGGCTTCAGGAGAGTTTCTGTGACTGGAACGACTTATGTTCATAATAGCACCTGTCCGCCAAGGCTCTCACAGTGAGTGCAGCAGTGGCTAATGCAAGGCCCAGGCTGTCCTGGAAGTGAGGTGCATGGAGAGTGTCCATAGTGTGGTGGGGATGGACCTCCTTAATACATAATGACATTCTCTGTGTTTGGAATGCAGGGCCGTGTCCTCACGCAGCTGGTGTACACTGGTGCAGATTCCATGAAGTCCATGGAGCAATGCTGAGTGTCACCAGCTGGGAAACTGGCTTTATTGTGCTGTTCTGGGAGCTGATTCAGAGGACATGCCCCAGGGGATGGGGCAGTTAACATTTGTTCATGGTGGTATCACTTGTGTCGACAAAGGGCATTGATTTTTAAGGCCAGAAGGGACCACTGTGATCTTCTAGTTTGATCTCCTGTACAGCAGCCCAGAGAAGTTCACTTGGTTATCCCTGCACTGAGTCCATCACATGTGTTTGACAGAAGCATCTTCCAGAAAGGAGTCCAGTCCGGCTTTGGGGACACCAAGAGATGGAGTGTCCACCACTTCCCTTGGGAGGTTGCTGTGGTGGTTAATCACCCTCACTATTAAAGATTTGTGCCTTGTTTCCAATTTGCCTTTGTCTGGCTTCAGCTTCCAGCTCTTGGTTCTTGGTCTGTCGCTCCATGTTAGAATCAAGAGTGCGTTAGGACCCAGTATTCTTTTCCCCAGGATGGTAATTACACCCGTGGTCCTACTGCTGGGACCTCTGGCTGTAATGTACACTGACCCTGCGCAGCCAACATGCTGTCTCTCTCTACTCCACAGACCACGCCCGTCAGATCACCAAGTCCATGATGAGGAAGCCGACTGTGGACCGTCTGCTCGCCCACCGCGAATCTGACATTCAGAACTTTGTCAGCTTCATCTCAAAAGACGCCATTCAAAAGTCTCTCCATATGTACATGGAGATGCTAAAGCAGAGGAGAGGCTGAGGAAGCGGCCTGCCCCCACATGGGGTCACTGGCCTAGAAGACTGAAGAGCCATATGCCAACCTCTGAACACCCTGCAATAGCTTTAGATTTTTAAAATGAAATATTTTTCAGTGTAATCAATCCGATTTGTCTTGGCTGTCACCTTAGCCTCCTGTTTCTAGCCCTCTCACGCTAGTGCCTTGTCTTATGGTGCCTAATACTGATGCCTTCTTCCTGAAGGGCTGCAGGAAATGTTTGATTGGATGATCCAAATAAATAGAGTGGTCAGCCCGTTGCTACTGTGAAACATCATCTGCTGGCATGGCTGGGGCCTCCTGGCGCTCAGATATTTGCCTTCCGAAAAGCGTGAATGTTAAAAATGTGAATTGACAATAAAATGTCTTGAAAGGAGGCCAATTGAGAGAGGGACGCTTTGTTTTCCACATGGGCTTGTCTGTCCCTACTGGGCACTAACTAAAGGTTACAGCTCCTCCAGGCTGGGGAGTGTGACTGTAAGAGCCAGGCGGCTACAGGCAAAGGGGTTGTTTCCCTTCACCTGAGGCCACAAGTTACAGTGTTTACGCATACAGTAATTTTGGATAAGGAAACCCTGGGACCAAGTGCATCCTTCCAGGCAAGTATTGCTTGGAAATCAGGCTGCAGTTGGAGTCCAGCCCAGGTTCATAGTAGCTGAAGGTCATTGTGCTCTGATAGATGGAGGGTGCTGCTGAGGGCTGAATGGGCCTGGTAGATTGAACCCTGCTTACAACTGGGCTGCTGCAGAGCCAGGCTATGATGGGTGGCAGATGGGCCTGCCAGCTGCTTGTGCTGGCTGTCCTGTGGGTAAGGACATCAGGCATCAGGGCTGCCACGCCGGCATCTTTTGCTAACATGGCATTGACTTAAACCCTGACTGCACGAGGAGGGCTGGTTCAGCCAATGCAGTTGTCCTGAAGGGATGGCAAATGCTGGTGCTGAGGGTCCTTTTGGGCTGATAGTTACAGTTGGTGGGGCTGGGCAGCCAGGCTCCACTGCTGCAGAGAGAGGATTCTGAGCAGGTGCTGGTGAAGGCAGCCTGGAGCTTCAGTGAGCCTTCAGCATCACCTCCACGGGGAAATGGTCGCTGACAGCCAGGGCCTGCATGGGAACAGCAAGTGGGGACACAGTGTAACAGCTCTGCCAGCTTAGATCCACCTGGCGACGTGCAGCGAGTAACCTTCCCAGGGGCCTTTCCCTTGCCCAACCTCGAGACTAGCAACATCCCCGGCTGGGTCTCAGAAAGGGTGAAGATCTCCCTTAGCCTTACCGAGCTAGAACTCTCCCCAAGCTGGAGGTTCCTAGGGGAAGGGCCTGACTCCCTGACTTTCAAGCTGTATGTTTCTAGGGAGAGAAGAGCTTGTTTAGAGAAGTTTTAAATGCACTAGTTATTGTTTTCCTTATCTATGGTCCCTGTATAGCTATGAACTCCTGGCCACTAAAGACACCTACCCAGGAAGGGACGTAAAAAATAGTTCCCACCACCTTTGCAACAATTCTCGGATGCTGCTGGGCTAGCATGGAGCGCACACAGAGAGTGGGGCGGGGAGCTGTGGTGTACGGAGCTCATCAGTGACCTGTTTGCTTCATCACTTGTGAGTGCTGCAGGCTTCCAAAACTCCCAATGATAAAACCTTGAGAGCTCACCTTTTCCTGGCTGAGTTGCAGACATCCCTGTCATTGTTTCAAAATGTTTTATAAACGAGGATGCTTGGGTCTGGCCAGAGGCCCTGTCTGGTCCTTAAGGATGCCCCTAGTATCACTGTCCCACATAGCCAGGGGTCTACCCTGGAATTTAACAGGCAGGAAGAGCTTCGCTGTCTAAAGGAATTAAATGTTTGCTCTCTGGGGATCAGTTTCAGCCCACGGTACCTCGGCATCCTCCAGTTTGAAAGTGTGTTGGAAATTATAGACAGCAGCAGACTTGGGCTTGATGCTTTTCTTCAGCTTGGAGCCACACACCACAATCCTGGAACACGACAACACAGGACTCAGAGTTAAACCTTGCACTTTCCAGGGTCTTTCAGATTCAAACACAGCAAGGAAAAGCCCTGACTCCGGGGATCTGGGGTTAGTATCAGTGGGGCTGAGAGAGAGCTCAGTGCCAGGCTAGTCCTCAGCCCTTCTTTTCCCGGCCACCAAATGCTGTCTGCCATTGTCTGTGCCTGGCCTCTGAGAGCGGCTCTCTGCTGAGAAACAAGAGCTAAGACCCTAGGCAAAGAAGCCCCCACCCAAGGCTTTCACTGGAGCTCTCCTAGTTCAGCCACAAGAGGGAATGCAGGCACAGGCAGCCAGCAAAGGCAGAATGCCCTGTGAGTCCTGATCACAACTGCTCTGTGGATCCACCAGACGGAGGATCCCCATCAGCAGCTGCATTCACTGTCATGCACACACCCTCCCACACACAGCCATTCTCCTGACAGGCCAAAGCCACTCTGCCTGTTCTGAGACTTGTTAACAGCCCACCAGGACATACAGAGAGAACCCTTGGAAATCTCCCCCGTCCGCAGGTGGGTCTCTGCCTGAGCCAGGGTCTCTCCCTGCAGGGCCAGAGGAATGTTAAGGCCCCAGGGCTGCGCCACGCTTGCCAAGGGAGGCCTGCCCATTGCGACGCTCGGAAAGGCGGCATCTCACCTGTCGTAGGCGCAGTCTGACTTCCCAACGGTGGTGTCTGCACTGTCAGGGATGAGCCACTCGAACACCTCGCTGGTGCGCAGACGGATGGACCCCCAGTCCCCTTTCTTGACGTAGGAGCAGTCGGCGTTGAAGTCTCCCAGGAACATGATATTCTGTGGAAGGAACAGCGTGAATGGGCTGGTGTTTGGTGCTGGCAGGCACTGGGACCGGGCACGGAAGAGACCGGCATGCAGGCAATAGCTCCATTAGGCATTCTGTGCCTGAGCACGGGCTTTGGGCCCTTTGGACTGCGCTGTGAGGACTGAGTGAAAAGCAGAATTTGCATCCTGGGGAAGGGCTGAAATTTCACTGTTTGGTTTTGTCTTGAATTGGGACGAAAAGTCAAAATATCAAAGTTTTACATGGAGTGGAAAGTTTTGATTCGGAAACGTCTAAACCTTTTGTTTTGGGTCAGATGTTAAAAGGCATGTGTGGAAGATGTTGCATTGCCTCATGGGAGTTGTAGTTCAGGGGTCTTATACCCCCATTCACCCACTGGGCCATGTTCCCTGACCAGACTACATCTCCTATGATGGAACACACCATGGATCAGGCAGAGGGGAGACTGTGGTATATCATGGAAGATGTAGTCCATCCAGAGATCCCATAGGGGAGAATGGGTAATGAGGCACCTGAACTACCACCCCCATGAGGCTCTGTTGCAGAGCTGGCAGATGCCGTTCACTGCCAAACCTCCTCAAAATTAAATGTTTTGATGCCGTTCAACAATCCAAAACCCTGTGCTTCGGGTCAACATGACCCTACATCAGATAGTTCGTTTCCATTTTCCTGCAGGAAAATCAAAAATTTTCCATTTTTTGGAAACTGCAGTTTTGGAAAACTGCATTTTCCATCAAAAAGGCATTTTACCAGCCACCAACCTCCCAGAGACGTGCTACTGTTGCAGAACCAGGCACTAGGCACAGAGCTCTGGCACTCTGCCAGCAGAGGCTGTCCATGCAGGAGCAGCCTCTTGGAACCAGGGGAGCTCTGAGTGCTGGCTGGTGAGTCTTGCCCACATGCTCAGGGTTTAGCTGATCACCATATTTGGGGTCGGGAAGGAATTTTCCTCCAGGGCCTTTGCCAATCTGCCCTGGAGGAGGTTTTTCGCCTTCCTCTGCAGCGTGGGGCACCGGTCACTTGCTGGAGGATTCTCTGCACCTTGAGGTCTTTAAACCACGATTTGAGGACTTCAGTAACTCAAGCATAGGTTAGAGGTTTGTTACAGGAGTGGGTGGGGGAGATTCTGTGGCCTGCATTGTGCAGGAGGTCAGACTAGATGATCATAATGGTCCCTTCTGACCTTAAAGTCTATGAGTCTGTCTATAAACTGCCCGGTCTGTGCCCCACAGAGCCAGGCCTGCAGGAGGTGGTGATGGCACGTGGTCTGCGTCAGAGAAACGTGGGCATTTTTGTGGCATTCAGCCACTGTCCCATTGAGCCGGAGACACAGACGGCTATTTACAGTGCAGGTAGGGTGACCAGACAGCAAGTATGAAAAATCGGGACAAGGGGTGGGGGGTAATAGGAGTCTATAAAAGAAAAAGACAAAAAAAATCGGGACTGTCCCTATAAAATCGGGACATCTGGTCACCCTAACTGGGGGTGAGTAAGGCTGCTGTCAGTGGAACTATGCCAGCATCACCCTGAAGCTGTCTGGGAGCAAACTCCAGACCATGGAGTGTCCCAGCCAGCTGTTCTGGGAATGAGATCTCAGCTGATCGCCTGCGCAGCAGGCTCCTTCCTAGCCAATGTGGTGGCCCAGAGGCAGCAGACGATGGACACTGTGGGTTCCACAGGAACTGTATAGTTAATACCAATCCAGCTCTAAGCAAGGGTGAGAGGGAGCTGGGTTCTCTGGCCTGGACGATGAAGGAGCTCAGACTGGATGGTCAGAACGGGCCCTTCTGGCCGTAACAGCTGTGAATCTAAAGCCCCTTCATACGTTCACATGGGTGGGGCTGGGTTTGCACCCGGATACATCTGCTTACGTCAGTCCCCCACTTGTCGATGACATCTAAGTAGACATCATAGAGGGCGTCGATCTCTGCCACAGCCTCGCTGGGGGGTGTATGCAGGGGCACCAGCACAAACTCCTGCACCTCTGCAGAGACATAAGTTACAGAGTCATCACACACGTGCACAGAGAGCCATCTCGCACACATGCAAAGCTCTCACAGACACACACAGTCATCACACACGTGCACACACCCAGCCAGCCATCGCGCGCGCACACACACACAGCCATCTTGCGCACACACAGAACTTTCACACACACAGTCATCACACACGTGCACACACCCAGCCAGCCATCGCGCGCGCGCACACACACAGCCATCTCGCGCACACACAGAACTTTCACACACAGTCATCACACATGTACACTCGCCCAGTCATTGCACATATACACACAGAGAGCCATCTCGCACACATGCAGAGCTTTCACACAGACACCTCACACTCACACACACCCAGCCATCATACACACACACTCAGAGCCATCATACACGTGTGCACACATTCAGAGCCATCATACATACGCAGTCTTGTACCATAAGTTTGTCCGTCAGCTTCAGTAACACCCTCAGCAGCACTGCCCTGGGGTGCACTGACCTAGTGGGGACAAAAGTGCCCCCGCCCAGGGGTCATGTTCAGCTCTCTCCCTTCGTCTTCATCGGGGTGGGAAAACGTTTGGCCCAAGGGCCACATCTGGGTGGGAAAATTGCATGCAGGACTATGGATGTAGGGCTGAGGCAGGGGGTTGGGGTGCAGGAGGGAGTGCGGGGTGTGGTGTGCAGGAAGGGGCTCAGGGCAAGGGGTTGGGGGCTCAGGGCAGAGGGTTGGGGTGCGGCAGGGGACTCAA